GGCTCAGTTCCTCTACTAGGACATCTTTGCGATGGCTCTCAGCTTGTCCTTAGTCCTTGGGGACACAGCTGCCGACCCCATCCTGGATAGCAGCGCACCGATCTCTTGGCCCTCTCTGGCTCCTGGTAAGGAGCACTTCCGCTATCTCAAAGTTGCCATAAGAAAATAAATACAAGTGACATTGTACTGGGCCAAAGCTCATTAGTTCGTTGTCCAGGCCTAATAAAGGAACAGAAGCGCAAATTATAGAGTTCAGCTTCAACACACGCTCTGTCACCCGAGATCAACGTACCGCGAGCCTGATTCCAATTGCTCCGAACTTGCTGTGCAGTTCGACCCCCACCCCCTCCTCATGAGCAGGAGGTTGGGTGGAAAAATATAGTTCCAAAGGGAGTAATGATCAAGCTTTTCCTCTCGGAAGCCTGCGCCACCTCATTTCCCATCAGTAATCCCAATAAAATTAACGTCGTGGCTGCAATTGAAAAGAGAGAACCCGCAACACTCCTGAAATAACACATTCTTCCTAGCAAAAGGTAAAAAGCAAAACGGCCCTTTGTTCGGCTAATTAACGAAGGCCCAACTCCGAAAGCACATGTGTTTGCCTAACTAATCACAAGCATGTTTCTTTCAAGGAATGTCATTTTCAGGAGCTACTGGGGTGGGGGCTGGAGGGAGGGATACCACCCCCATAAGTCCTTTTTTTTTTTTTGCTTGGGGGTCTCTCACTCAGGCCTAATCCAAGCAGCCCATCTTTCACACCTTTCTTCTCATTTGCCCAACCCCAGAGGCCCAGTAGTAAAGGACCTCCGGCTACCCCAAAGCCAGACCAGCAAGTCACCAGGAGAGGGGGAACAAGTTTTAATGACACAGATGCCATATTAAATGAGGCAGTTTTACAATTCACGTTGAATAGGACGCTAACTTATTACAAGTGTGTTATCAGAAGGACGATAAGATTTATAACTCGGAGAGTCAGCTTTGTGCCTTAATGACAATGGATGCTGGGGGAGGAAATCTGTTCTGGATTAGAGGAGCTAGGAGTTCCTTCCCGGGGTTTCCAAGAGGACCCATACCAGCCTGGCCCTTTGTGTGTCCAGAGGGGAAGATTCTACCTTTCCTCTTTCACCAGAAACCTGGCTCTGCTTGTGGGCTTAGCACCTCGCTCAGCTTTTTTAACCCGAAGCGTGAAAGATTAAACAAGAGAGAAAGGAGACTGAATGGGACCTGGGGATGAGGGGTACGGTGGCACACAGTCCTGAGCCCTCTCCTTCCGAGCAGGCGAACTCTTCTCCACTTTCTATAACATACAAAAGATACCTTTCCCCTAAACCAATACAGTCAACAAACTTTAAAAAACCGGGGTCCTATTACAAACCAACGCCCAGCACTAACTACTTTAAAATTACTGCATAATTAGATTTAGTTGAATTTCACCATTAATTAGGCCGTCGCACTGCAGGGGGCCTTTGAAATCTGAGAAAATGGGAAAAATCATGTGAAGCACGTTTTTGAAAACCCAACTTCAATACATCTTGACGGGGCCTGGAATCCAGAAGACCTCCCTTCCCTCCCAGGTAGTTGATAGGGTTCCCCAGGCCCAGGCTAGGTTTGGAACTGGACCGAGAAGACAACTTGCCCCATCGTTCCCCCAGAAGGGATGGGTTCCAATTTAGGGTCTCTGAAGATGACTGGAAAGACTTGCTGGGAGGCCCGTCAGTCCCCTGGCCGCCCTTGCCTGCTCTTAAAACCTACTAGAGGAAGACATTCTTCCCCTGAAGATGAGCATCAGCCAGTGGTTGCAGTCCACGAGGGTTCTCACATAACTGGGCCTTGCGACCACCCTCCTGGAAGCGGCCCTCGGCCCTACTCCTTTCTACTCCCCAGTTAAATCTCTGTCCGCAAAGCCACCTTTCCCTGAACTTTGATGAGCAAGCAGCAAGTTGTACCAAGCAGATAGGGTTCGCAGCTTCCCCCCCCCCCCCCCCCGCCACCCCTGCCGTTAGCATGTCCCAGGCCCGCTGCAAGCCCAGAGCTAGCTCCGCTTTAATGAGAGCAGGGAACTGACCCAGGTCTGTAAATACTGGCTTCTCCCCCTCCCCCTATACCATTCAAACACTTAAGATCGTTTGTGGATACCAAATTTTATTCTTCTCGTTTGGTTCTGGGAGGAGAGGGGGACATGAAGTCAACTCTCCTGAATATATGTGGGGGGGAGGGTGCTAAAAACAGAGGTTAGATTCCTGGGTTACCAACATTTTCCCTAGAAACGCTATTGCTTTAATTACAGAATAATCGAGGACTGCTTTCACTTGCCAGCCAGAGTTTAAAAGAGGGATTTCTGCCTGTAGACCGAATGGCCCTTAGTCCTCCCTCACACACACACACCCCTTTTTTCTTCCTTCTTTTTGGTAACCAATGTGTTTTCTATTACCCGGCCGTGCGGTGCCTGGCAGCCGGCGCTCGCGGTGCAATGGGAGACGCCATGTTGGCTCAGCTCATAGGACCAAGTCAAAAGCGAGCTTGCAGGCAGAGTTTTCACACGCTCGAGCTCCCCCTGACCGCCCCCCGCCCCCGCCCCCCGCCTCGTCCCTTCTCGGTGCACGTCCCGGGAGAGCAGCTGGGCGATCTCGGCACCCCGGACTTTCCCGGGCTCGGGCCGAACACTGCGGTGCTGGCGGTGGGGGCGGGGGCGGGGGGCCAAGCACTTTCCCGCAGCCGCTGCCAACTCCGACCCGGTCCCAGCCGCCTGCCGACGCTACCACCAGGCCGTCGCCAGGGACCCAGCCCTGGACGCCGCCCGCTAACTTTGAGCCCCAGGCCCTGATCCCCGCCACCAACACCCCCCTCTTCCCCAGCCGTCCGGGCCAAGCTCTAAGTGAAAGGCCGAGGCAGGGCGACCGCGAGCCGAGCGAACTGGCTAGAACCAACCCCCCCCCCCCCTCCTCCCCCGAAGCTCAATCTTCTCCCAGGTTTGTTTGAAAGTGGCAAGAAGGAGCGATCGCCCCTCTCTCTCTCCTCGGACCTTTGTTGCATTTCGCCTCTAACTGGGTTCTCTCACACCACCGAGCGCCAGGAGGAGGGGGAGTGGGGTTGGGAAAAGAAATAAAGCGAGCTCAGATCCGATGGAGGAGGAGAAAAAAAAAAAAAACAGCAAGGAAAAAGAGACACTTAAAGGGAAAGAGTCGCCATGTTTAGCAGCCTTTTTTTTTTTTTGCTTTTTTTTTTTTTTAAAGATCTCGTCAATTTCACACAGAACGCACTCGCTGGGTCCCAGCCCTCGTCTTTTGTCTAATTCAGGCGCAGCAAAGATCTTTTGTTCTAACTCAGCGTGAAAAGAAAAACTTTCTTTAAGTGCAATAAACTTAAACCGAACTCAAGACTCTAAACAGATCCTCCTCCAGCCACTCCAAAACGTATACAAGGGGTTTTGTTTTAACCCGTTGAAATTTTCTGAGTCCTGTTTTTCCTGCCTCGAAGACCCCTAAGCTCATTGCTGAAACTTAGAGAGAGCAAGAGAGAGATTTAAAAAAAAAAAAACCGCCTAGAACACATACTTAAAAGCATAATAAAACAGGGACTGTCTTTTGCTTTGAAAATCATAAATTATAATTTAATGCCAATAATAATTTACAACAAATGGCTGTTTACAATAAACTAAGACAAAACAAACAAGGAAAAGGGCCTATGTTTTACTTAGTAGAGAAAACTTCACACACTCACATGGATAGCACTTGCAAGAGGGGGGGGAATAAACCACCAACAAAACCTCCTTCTAAAGGTCAGATGCTGTGCTGTAAAACATACTTCATATTTATAGATATGTACAGAGAGAAGAAGGTGAGGGTCAGAGGGAGAGCTCTGCCTAAATGAGGCAGAGTTTTTCAGGTCTGTGTGTATGAACCAGAACTGAGCATCAAAGTTTCATGCACTTTGCAAAATGATCCCTTTCCTTCCACCTCTTTCATCAGCCCCCTCCCTCATTTTCAGATTAAACCACAACATGGTAAAAAAGCATTGTCAGGGAGGGGAGCTCGGAAAGTCTAAATAAGAACAAATTGTAGGCTCCCAGCACTGAGTTTTTCCAAACCAGGAAAGGAGAATAAGGGACTGAAACAAATAGTAGACTTTCCAGATCAGTCAGCACACCCTGTAAAGTTTTTTTTTAATATTCTCTCTCTCTCTCTCTCTCTCTCTCTCTCTCTCTCTCTCTTAAAAAACTGGCTTCCAAGAATGAAGGGTCCCAAGAGCAGTGCAGACTGTACTTATACAATCTGAAATGTCCAAATGTCCATGGGTTTTTATGTACAGAACTCCAATGGAAAAGATTCCCTTGACCTGTGGTCATGCTCTCACCGACTGAAGAGGGAGGGGGAGGGGGAAGGCAGGCCAACTGCAAGTTATCATATATACATGAAAAACAGACCCTTCATCCCTAGCAGCTACATCACTGTATTCAAAATCCTCTCAACAGCCACACTAGATGAGAACCACAGAATATTTTAAAAAAACAAACAAACAAACAAAATCACACTTACTTAAGGAACAACTGCCCTCTATTTACAGTTCTGTGATTAGCTTGCTTGAACAATCCTCTGCATAACTGTCAGAAATGTACAAAAGAGCATTTTTTTTTCTGATCATAAAATAGATACTGATCTCAAGCTTTCTAATACGTCTCACAATAACCTTCCCTAAGCAGGCACTTAAGTGTGACAAATATAAGGGCCTCTTTTTTTTTCCTGGAAAATCCATTTTTAATTAAAAGGAGGATTAGGTGAATAGGGGTGGCTTACTATATCAGTGTGGCACTTCCTAAACCATAGATAAACCATTAACTTCAGCTCCCCCCACACACACACACCCAAATTAAACAGGCAAATACACTAGTCTACCTTTGAACAAACTGAGTGAGGGGAGTCAACAAATGGGGCCCCCGCTGGCTCAGCGAGGACTCACAGGGGCTCAACCTGATGGAAAGACAGTGAGTGGGGACAGCCAAGCAGGTTTCAGATATCAAATAATATTTTAATTTCTGAATACTTTCAATTTTCCTTGGAATATAACACACAAAGACTCGACCAAACAGTTCAGTTATTATAACTTTTACAGTATACAGAAATGTTGCACTTAAAAAAAAAACCTTCAGTTTTTTTAAAAACACAAACTGTAAACTCTAAGATACTGAATCAATCACGTTACCTATAAGTGCCAACAGTGTTATTTTGTCATGCTGATTTCAATGGTATTTTTTAAAAAGGGGGAAATATCAACAATTATAATACAAAGGGCTTGCAAATATACAAACAGATATAGGATTCATAACAATTCAAGAACTAAGGGGGGGGGACCCAATTCAAATTACAAAAGTTCACTTTTTATTCAAAACCTCAGGTTGTGTCTTGGACACATTCCTTGGCTGCCAATAAATTCCACAGTTCCTTCTCTTTCTTAAAATATGTTTAAAAAGCTAGGTTTGTCTTGGTCTGGGGAGGGGGTAGGGGAAGCTGTGTTGCATGTGATTCCCTCCAGCTCGCTAATTGGAGTGCTCAACTTCACCTAAAAAAATTTGGCCACCACTTGTAAGTGCATTTCCGTCATCTCTGAGTTGCCTTCTAAAGTTTTATGTCTTCCTATGATATTTTCATGGACTCAGTTTTAATTCTTGCAGAACATATATTTTAATGATACACAGTTTTTTTTAAGAAGCCAAGATTATATCAAAACTTATTATAGAACCACAGAAAAACTGGTTTGGAACCAGAAAAGTACAAAAAAAAAAAACCAACTAGAGGTACACAGACATAGGACAATTAATAATTTGGAAAAAAAAAGACTTACTTTGTCCATTCTGCTAATTTTCTCCCAATCGCCTTAAATGCACTTTTAGCAACATTTTTTCAAAAATTTACCAAAAAGAAAAAAGACTAATTTCCTTTTTATACAAAAAAAATGATAAGTAGCAAGTTGTTCTGCCCAACACAGGAGTTTTCTTTTTTAATGCATTCTGTAAAAGTTCCTTTGACAGTCTCTCTCTCTCTGAAATTCACAGTCCATTAAATTCTTCCCCTCTTCTTTTAGCAAACTTGTAACATCCTTTCTTAACAGAAGGAAATTAAGCAAACAAAACCAGTCTTTTGCCTTTTCTTTCTCTGCTTCTCTCCCCCTTCTTATTTTGATTGATTTATTTATTGAATTGCCATATACGGCCAGTTAAAACTGCTGCCGGACAGTAACATATCCCGGATGAGGGTTTCGATGGGGGTTTTACCTACCAAACGGACGAAAAACAATTGCTCTATGACTGAGGAGGAGACCGTGCGGAGGGAAGGGAGACGAAGCAAAAGCTTTCCGAACCGCGTTGGCTGGTTGGGGTACTGGCTCCTGACGTACTCTTCCAAAGCGCACTGGGACTTTTCCTGCAGGCTTTCCACGTGGGCTACATCAGACAGACCACAGGCATCTGGAAGAAAGTTAAAAAAAAAAAGTGGGGAAAGAGGAAGAGAGAGAATCCATCAGATTAAGAGGCCTGAAATGGGTCACCTGAGGTGCACACACAGTGCTCTGTCAAAGTGCCCCATCCAGACTTGGAGCAAATGCCTAGACACTGAAAACTTCAAGGGGGAGAAGCGAGGTGACAAAGCTTGAGCTGGTCCTGGAGTGTTTACTTTAAAATAAAACACGCTTGGGGTGCTACAGGCTTTCATTGCCCAGGTCCTCAGGCTGGGTCACTGGGAGGCCCAAGAAAAAAGTACATTGGTGTATCTGGCCCTGTTTAGTACACAGACAGACAAAACCAGAACCACCAATGCTTCTTCCCCCATCCCCTGAATTTGGCTTATTATATAGTGTGTATAGGGAGGAGGGGTGACAACCTGGCCCAGCTTGCAGTAATGGCGTCCAAGACCCAGCCTCAGATTCTCCCCAAAGAGAGGGACTCATTTTTCTCCAGTCTTTGAAACTGATTTAAGTGGCCCTTTAAAACTGATCTTGTCAGTTTAGCCTATTGAAGGGCAGCCATGCAAACTGTGATCTCTCTGTTCATTTGAGCTGTTTCTTTCCCCTCCTTTTCTTCTCTCTCCCTTTTCTCCCACCCCCTTTTATTTATTTTTTTTTAAAGCCCAGGTCTCTCCAAGAAGCATCCCCCCCTCCCTGTTATCTTCAGGAAAACACTTTTCTTTTTTTTTTCTTTTCTGATACGTGAAATTACAATAAGTGCCTTTGAAATGAGAGGCTTCTTGGTGAAGGCGGTTCAGGTTGTGACCTGACCTTTCAGGGCTCCCCAGACAAGACTGGGGTTAACACATGCATATTGTGAATCATTAAAACAGTTTTCACCACCACCTCCACTCCTACCACCAGAACACACATGCGCCCTCCTCCACTCTGTCCAGGACTCTGTGTGTCTACAGATGCCTAGGTGTCTGTGGTCAGGAATGAAAAGATCTGTTTGTCTAGGACTCCTTCCTCTCCCTCTGCATCAGATAACAGGAACCTTTATCTCTTTGTGAGGCCGTCTGCATTCTCCATACAGGACTCCACATCTTCAAACAGTGATAAATTAAACTGTTTCGACAGTACCAGGCATTTCTTTTCTTGAAAGACCAGGAGGTAAAGGCAAAGAACCAACAATGGCATCAAGAAATTAACAGCCACCTCCATCATCTGAGGTTATGGGGGGGGGGGGGGACGAGGGGCAGCTATGGGGCAGGACTAGGGTGCCATGACATTTGTGCCAGGCAAAGTAGACATGAGAAGCCCATGAGGAGAAGAAGCCCCCTCTATACAGCTCTGGTCTGGCCAGAGTGCTGTCCTCTGATTGATTATCTAAGGACTTTGGAAGGTAGGGGTTAGAGTGACTGGGGTGGTGTTCTATGTGAGAAACAGTAACTCATCCAAGACAGCACAGTGAGAATGAGCCTGCAAGGGGCTCAGCTAATGAGCTGGTTCCCAGATTTCTTTGAACAACAAAGAAGAAACTGTGGTCCTCTCATCTGCCTGTCCTCGAAACTTACACATCTCTTCTAGCTTCCTCACTTAAAGATCTGGAGTAGGCTGACTAGGTCCCAGGCCCCTGCCAATGTCCAAATGGGTTTGTTATTCTTAGTCAGGAACCCTGGTCCCTTCTCAGCCATGACAAAGGAATCAGCTGACAACTTAGTGCAAGAATGTGAAGGGTGGGGGTGATTTCCACCCACCTGGGCTAGGGCTGAACTGAGTGAGCCTGAAGGCAGCCAAAAGGCTCAGGTGTGGCCCGAAAATGGAAAGCCAGACACTTTCAAAAATCATTTGGCCTCAAGAGTTAATGAATATCAGATCTATTACTCACACAGGTTAAACTACATGCAAACTAATTAGATTTCCTAATGCAGTCAATGACGGTTTCCTATCTCCAGCCACATTCATAACCAGCCCAAGTTGGCACACACTACACTGTGGGTTGCTTGAAAATTGCCTTAAGTGTTTGCCTGAACAGGGGAAGCCAGAGGCCAGCTTTCAGCCCCCTGCAGACATTCTTGGAATTATGGTAGTCCTTCCACCCCTCCTGCCCTTCCTGACAGCACAGCCCTTCTCCTGGCAGTCTGCATTATTTTCATGAGAAGGCAATTTTGAAAGCTGCTGCTCTCAGGTTAGGGTTGCCTGGAGCCCCAACTCCTACTGAGTTCACAAGCAAACTTTCCCCCCTGCAGGGACAAACTTTCTCCTACAGGGATGATGCCAGGGCTGCAATGTGCCCAGGGGCATCTCCTTGAGGTCTCAGACAGGGTGCCAAAAAAGAAAAGAAGAAAAAGAAGAAGAAGAAGAAGAAGAAGAAGAAGAAGAAGAAGAAGAAGAAGAAGCAGGAGCTTGAGATTCCCTGGGGGCCAACTAGGCCCAGAGGGCCTGGACTTAGGGAGGAAGCAGGAGAGAGCCTACCAGGTTGGGTACTAAAAGAGAGAGGAAGGGGCCTGAGACACCTAAGGTCCCTCTGGGAGTCAGTGTGTGGAGCATCCTTCTGCACACTAGGACCAGCCAGCAGTTATAATAAGTTCCCACTTCAACATACACTCTGAAGTTTGACCTTTGAAAGGGGAAATAGGGCTGGCCACTTTTCCAGGCCCTAACTCTGTCCTGGGAGTTCTTGGGTTCCTGGGAACAAGTCTCTATCCTACCTGAGGTGAACAGGACTATGGCCTTGAGGCAGCTGTACTCGGCTGAATCGACGTGCAGTGCCTTGAGCTTCTCCACTTGCTCTTGGAAGATCCGTATGTGGTCCATAAAGGCGACCACCCGGTCGGCCGACATGGGTGAAGCGTGCAGGCCAGCAGCGGCAAGGAGCGGGGCGACATGGAGGGGCATGGAGCACTGCGCCGCATTCAACACAAACAGCTCGCTCCAGGTGAGGCGAAGAAGGGCCACCTGGTCCGTGATCTGCAGGTCAGGGAAGAAGGGGATGTTCCGGGCCCACTCCACGGCGCTGAAGAGCATCCGCGCGGCCAGTTCGCAAATGTTCTCGATGCCCATGATGTTGTTAGGCTGCATGCACTGGCTGCCGAAGCGAGACGTGGGGTAGGGTTCCGCACGCAGCAGCAGGGAAATATATCCGGACAGGTACGAGTGGCAGTTGAGGGGGTCCCCGTTGGTCAGCGCGAACTGCCCGTGGGTAGGCTGGGTGGGCGGCATCCTGCCCCTCTGTACAGCTGCAGGGAGGAAAGAGGACACTCCACAGTTAATGATCAGCCTTGGTCCTGTATCTTTATACAAGACCCCAACCGGTCCCAGGCCTTAGAACAGCGCCAAGAACCAGGCAGGCCTGCTACAGCCAGGCACCCAGCAACCACTCCTCACAAATCACCTCCCAGGCCGGCTCTGACCGCCAGAGCTCAACACTTGCCTGCGAGGCCCTTCTGGGAGCTGGTCTGCCGCGAGGACCCAGAATTGGTCACTTTGCCTCGGGGTCCCCGGAGCGTGATGTAGCATTCTGGGGGCACCTTTCCTTCTTCTCCCCCTTTTTTCCCCCCAGCTAAACAGCTGATATTTCTTATTGATTGGAGAAGGAATGGGAGCGGAGCGTAGGGGGAGGGCGAGAAGCTTTTTGCACAAGACATCAAGGTTTTACCCCAGATGACCAGTGGCCAACCCCCGAACGACTGTCCCCAAACCATGTAACCTCCACCCCAGTCCAGGAGAAAACCCCCCGGCGAGAAACAGAGTCTAAGACCCGCGTTTTTGCCTGATCAGTGAGCTCGGAGGAGGGGAGACAAGGGAGAAGAGGGCGGAGAGAGAAAGAGAGGCCGGCAGAGACGAGAGGAAGCCGGAGAGAGGCAGGGAGCCGGCGGCGAGCGCTGGCGGAGCCTGGACAAGGCCCGTGACGGCCCGGGAAAGCCAGAGAGGCTGAGGCTCCTGCTGTTATCTGACTCTGAACCGAGAGAGTCGCTCTCGCAGAAACACAAAGAAACCCCGGCTTTGGCTCGCCCCAACCCGGAGCCCGCGCCCCGCGCGGAGCGCGCCATTGGTAGAGCAATGTTCCCGGCTCTGGGCGAATTTTATGTCACAAAGACCCAGCTGGTGCAGAGCGAAAGCAGAGACCCAAGGCCCCTTGTCCACACTTTCCTACTCCCTACAATGCTCTCTCTTCGTTTCAAAAGTGAAAGGAAAAAAAAGAAAAGCAAGAGGCATTTTTTTTAAAAGCAGAATGTTAATCCATAGAAGGGTCACATGAGTGCTGCCCAGGAGGCAGCGTTAATACGGCGAAGTGCATAAAATTGCCATTTGTAATTTGAACCTTCTGTACAAAAGTACAATCTCAGGTTGGTTTTTTTTTGAGAAGGTGGGGGTTGGGGAGAGGGGTAAGGAGGAGGGACATATGTTGAACATGCAGGAAAAGCAAGGAAAGAGGAGAGAGAGAGAGAGAGAGAGAGAGGACTTTAAAACAACAACAAACAACAATCCATCCCTTGCAGAAAGGTGAACTCAATGAACTCTCAATCAATGCATAGGAAAGGAAATGCAGCCTGAAGAGAGAGTGGAGAAGGAAAGTCTGCTAAAGCGTGCGGACTGGAGGATGGGGGCTGGGGGTGGTCAGGGTTGCTGTGCAGACCCTGCTCCTAGTACCAAATCCCCTCTGGCTGCAACACGGAGGGCTTGGGGCTTCTGTGTCCTTACCCAGAGCAGGCTAGCCAAACGCACCCAGGGCCCCGGGACCGCGGGCGAAGGGGGGAGAAATGAGAGGCCGATACCTTCCCGTCTCATGCCCACTTTGAGGCACTTTTTGAGGCGGCAGTACTGGCACTGGTTGCGGTGGTGCTGGTCGATGGGACAGTTCCGGTTGGCGCGGCACGTGTAGCTCAGGTTCCTCCGCACGCTGCGCTTGAAGAAGCTCTTGCAGCCCTCGCACGTGAACTGGCCGTAGTGCTTGCCGCTCGACTTGTCCCCGCACACCACACACTCGATGTGCTGCTGCTGCTGCTGCTTGTCGCTGCCGGGGCCACCAGGGCCGCCCTGGCCACCAGCCGCTGTCTGGGCCGGCGTGCTGGCCGGGCCCCCTTGGCCCGGCGTCTGTGGCGTGTGCGGGGCGCCAGGCGGCGGGCCCGGCACGGGCGGCGCCTGCGAGGCCTGGCTGCCCTGAGAGCCGGGCACCTCGTCCTGGGGGTCGCGCCACGTGCTGACTACCATTGCCATATCTATGGGGGCCGCGTCCGGACTTCTGCTCCCCTGGCTGCGGGCGGCGGCGGGGTGGCGGCGGCTCCCGGGTCTCGGGCTCCTGCGCGCCGCCTTTTGTGTGTGCGAGGGTGCGAGAGGGCGCGGGAGGGCGCCCCGGGTGGCTCAGGGCTAGTTGATTGAGGTTGGTTAGTTTTTCCTTTTTTGTTTTTGCTTTTGCAAAGTTTTGTCGATTGCTTGTCTGGCCCGGTGTGTTTGTTTTGTTTGTTTCCCTCGGCTCAGCTTTGTTGGTTTCGGGGGGCTTTCCGTCAAGAGGGGAGGGCAAGAGGACAGGGGAGAGCGAGTGGGAGCAGAACGTGGAGAGAGGGAGGGGAGGGAGAGCTGCAAGTCGATTGTCTGGCTTCAAGACAGAAGTAGGAGGCCAAAAAAAAAAAAATCTCTCCAAAGATCTCGCTCGCTCTCACTCTCCCTCCCTCTCTCCCTCTCTGGTTCACTCTCTCGCTCTCAGATCTAGTGTGCAGCGGAGGAGTTGGAGGAGGAGGAAGAGGAGGAGGAGGAAGAGGAGAAGGAGAGGCGACTGTCCGGGGGCCAAGTCCAGGGCAGCCCACAGTCAGCCATTCAGGAAAGCCATCGAAATCAGAAGGACTGGGAGAGCGGAGGCGCCGGGCGCGGGCGCGCCCTGGGGGCCAGGCAGGCCGGGGCGGAGACCGGCGGCCCGCGAAGTGGCCGGAGCTCTGCCCGGGTCCGGGGGAATCAGCATGAAAGTGGTCCGCGTCCGGCGCTGCGCGGCGTCGTCCTGGCGCTGGGCCGCCGCCGCCTCCTGCCCCGGGCGCCTGGCGCGCGCCGCGCTCGCTCCGGACGCCGCCGCCGCTCTTGGAGGCCGCTCGCTGCTCCCCGTGGGCCGCCTGGGCCGCCGCCGCCGCCGCCGAAGCCTCCGGGTCGGGCCCGGAGCCGCCGCGTCTAGCGCCGCCGCCGCCGGTGGAGTCGCTGCTGCCGCTGCTGCTGCCGCCGGAGCTGCTGCTGTTGCTGCCGCCGCCGCCTCACACACATAGGGAAAGAGTCAACTCGCCGGCGGCGGGGGAGAGATGATAAGAGAGAAAGGAGGGCAGATCAGCACCTAGAAGCGCATCCTTCGTGCGCAGAGGGGGGAGAAACGGAGAGAAAGAATGAAAGAGGGAAGAGCTGCGCGGCACCCGGAGAAAGGAGGCAACTCCGGCAGAGGAGGAGGAGAAGAAAACACACACGCGCGCACGCACGCACACACCGCGGAGAGAAAAGAGCAGAATCAAAGTGATCAAATATGCTAAAAAGGGGGGCGCGGGAGGGAATGCGATTTATAGGCGCCGGGGCTGGCAGAAGTGGCTTCTCCGCGATCAGCTCACTGAGCTCTCTATATAGTGAACTTTGACACGACTGCTGCAACTTAGCGCACGTTACCATGGCGACGGCGCGCCTTATAAGGCAGCCGCCGGGGTTGGCCTGGCCCGGCGCGCGCGCGCCGCCCCCTCGCCGTCATTGGCCGGACCGCGGCGGCCCCGCCATGGCGGCAGCGGGAGCAGCTCGGTCCTAGTGCGAGCGGCGTCGCCAGTGCCGCGCGGGGCGCGCGGGGACGGAGGGGGGCGGGGACGGGTGGCCGCGCCGCCCCAGCCACCGAGCGGGGGATGGGCCCGGGCGGGCCCTGGGAGCGCGGACCCCGCTCGCCCCGCACCCGGCACCCGAGGTTACCGCCCCGGCGGCTAGGCGAGTGCGCAGCGCACACACTACGCCTCTTAAAGGCTCCGCGAGAGGTTGAGGATGGAGCCGAAGACTTAGTCTGTCGCAACTTGGCTTTGCAACTAAATGCGCGGCTCGCTCTCCACCCGGGACTCCCGGCGCATTATGTAGAACCCACGATACCAAAGACGGAGAGCTCTTCCTTCTTCTTTGTAGAGGGGTACGCAACGGAGGTGGCAAGGTGCCGGGATCTGAGCTTGCTAAAGAAATATTTGGCTAGATCCGTGTGGTGGCAGATCCTTTGCTTAATGAACTCTCATCACTTGCTCAATTTAGGAGCTCCTTTTTGTTTGTTTGTTTTATAGGGGAAAGAAGCCGTTCAATATCTGCCTTTTTCTTTGGAGGGTTAATATTTTATAGATTTGTGGCCTGACATTTTAATTGCTCAAATGGAGCATCTCGGATGCTGAGAAGCACAAGTAGACTTCACTTCATTGTCATGACGCAATTAAAATAAATTCCCCTCAACTTGATCCTCTCTCGTTGGTTTTAGCTAACTGGCCAGCCAGTGACCTGTCACACACCCGGTCATGAAAAGAGAGCAAAAGACCTTTCTGTCCGCTGATGGACAGGCACAGGCAGCCGCTCAGCTTCGCCTGTGCACATCCTTCGTACACACATGTAAACGCACATGTATCAGATGCACATTTGTCAATGTACACAGACAAAGACATCCAAGACGATGCTTCTAGGTCACAGAACAGTTGAATACGGACTTCATTTTTCAAATTCTCTTTAAACATCCAAATAGTCATCAAAATACACCGAGAGAGCCTGCTCCCAGTTGGAAATATCACCAAGAGAACTCACAAGAACCACACACAAACCGTAGTCTTCCTCCAGAGAGTCATGGTAGAAAAAACAGTACCCCAACCTATCTCACCCTGCTCAGGATGCTCAAGCCATTGATATCGCTGTGTCTTTGAAAGTGTGCCTGAGTTTTAGACATCAAAAGTATAGAACCACCCCAAGGACACATTTGATTCCACTGACTAAACTTGCTGTTAGATTGGGACCAGTTAGTTGATTGTGAGGATTCCACATTTGTATGAGAAATTTGTGTTTAATAGGGAGTCCCTTGCACCAAGCCAAAACTTAATCCATAAGTCAAAATGGTTTATCACCAATGAAATTATTTTCTCACAAAAGATGCTGAGCTACTGGGGGGGGGGAGAGGACACCACAAAGAGTGAATCGAGAACTTCACAAGAGCATCCTTGACAGCATGAAAATTTGGCAATATAAAGTTACTTCAATAAAAATAAACCTGTCGTGTAATTGCCATTTCGGGCAGTTTCTTTTACACACACAGGCAGGGTGTGAGATGAGGAGCACATGAAGATGTGGGCAGACAGAAGTTGGCTTTTCGGCAAGGAAAAAAAAATCCTATTTTTTTAAAAAAAAGTCCTTCTTAGCCTTCTCTTTTTTTTTCTACTGAAATCACATATTGCACTTAAGTGGCAGGTGCTGTAATTATTTGAATGTTTTAAGAAATAACAAGCTATAGCAGGTACTAGACTATCATAAACCTGGTGTGTTTAATAAGGTGGCCACACAGTAAGGCCAAGCTGAGCGTTTCTGGCTGGCTAGAGATACCACATAACTCTCCTACAGAGAACAAGAAAGGAAGAAGGAAAAAAAAATCAGAGAAGTCTGTTTTTTTTTCTTTTAATTTTTCTGATTTGGGGAATTATCTGATGCTAAAAAAAATATCAGATTATAGAGGCGAGCTCAGCATATAGTGATCCTGAGGTTGACACAGGAAATCTAATAGGTATTCCCATCGCGACTTAATAGATGAGCATAATTGATTATAGAGAAATGTTAATCTTGCCTTTCCAGTACAGCCATTTTCATGGCAAGATTACTTTTTCCACACACACGGAGATGATTTTTGAGGAGGAGAAATTTCATACATGTATTTATATATATGCATGTATATATGTATATATATATTGAAGGCTATAATTTCATTAGATAGAAAAATCAAGATTTTTTTTTCCCTTTTACAGACCTGTAGTCAGCTAGACACACGGCCACACAGCTACCATCAAGTCAGGGGTGCTTCCCTTTGTATTTTTGAACTCATTTAGCTATAGAAATGCTATTTAAAAGGGGAAGAAAAAAATCACCATATGAATTGTAGTTAATTTAATGAGTGGACGAAGAGACAGGACAGCCAGACTGAGGATTTTTTTTTTAAGAGAAAAAGCAAAAATATTTTTAAATGCCCTTTTCAAAGATGCTCAGTTGTCTTAACTCTAAGATGTAAAGATCCTGACTAAAAGATACCTATCTACATATTATTATTTTTAAAAAACTTAACCAAGCCTTTTACTACAAATGTAAATTTATTTTAATGAGAATTGTGGCAAGCTTTATTTGACTGGTCAAAGTTAGGGAAAAAACCATTTGTCTTAATCTGGAAAAAAAAAAAAAGTCCCTAACTCCCAGGAATATGGTTTCCTTGCAGAAAGTGGTTGGCTGGTCTGTAATTCTTTACAGATTAAATCACAATATGAATACAGACCCCAGCAATGCCGAGTTTAACTCTGAGCTCAGTAGAATCCAGGATCCATTGAATTTCTCCTTTCCCTCAATCTAGTCATGTGTGTGTTTCTCTGCCACCACACTGGAGCTCCGTGAATAGGGAAGGGGCTTCCATTGTGTCCCTCTGAACTTCCAAGTCAATGCAATTTTTAACCACTGGCTTGTGGTACTTTGAAAATCACCAGGGGCTGTCAGAGTTGGGTCCTCTGAAAAATTTACAGTGCTAAATCAGAGCATATGCTGGGAGGGAAAAATTGCTTAAGATTGGAGCAAGTACAGTATCTGTCTGCCCCCTAGTGTAAGAGTCCTCGCTGCCTAAAACCCAACTTTATAAGAAAAGGAGCCCTTAAAGGGAAACGACTTGGGGCTCATGTAGGCATAGGAGAATGAAACTTCTGTACATTTTAATCTGAATAATTCTTCAGGATTTAAAATTATTTGTCTGTGGCTTGGTTGGACTGCACTCGGATCTCGTCGGTTCTACGTTTCTCGAGTCACTGGTGAAGGGATGATTTTTTTTTTTTTTGAACTGGGTTTATGTGCGTCCCCCTCACCCCTCCTCTCTTTTTCTCTCTGCCTCTGTCGTCTCCCTCGCTGGCTTTTTAAAAATGAAGAACCGTTCCATGATCATTTTGCACACAGCACAGAATTGCTTCTTAAGTCAGCCCGGCGCGGTTGCAATAGACAGCAAAAAGGTAAACCGTTTGCCTGAATTCAGCACGCCAGCACCACCACCCCGCCCGATGGTGAGTACCCTTCTCCTTGCGATTCTCCTAGCTTAACAGAGCTCGCCTTCAGGAACCGCAGCCGAGGGCGCCGGGCAAGGGCTTTGGTCCCTGCCCGCCCGCCCGCCCGCCTGCCTGCCTGCCTGCCTGCCTGTCAGCTGCACAAGGTTGCAAAATGAAGCGCAGAGGCAATTCAAACAGGAAATTCTGTTACCTAAAGCCAGCATAGCAGCAGCCCCTTTGCTAACAAACCCAGTCATTTGCTGCTTGGACAACCAGGCTTCTAGGACTGGTTTTCAGTCAATTCTATGGAAGGAAATGAGTTTGAGAAGACAGGATGAGGAGATGGGAGGCAACCGCAGTCTTTATGCTTCGGTTTAATCATATTTTGGCAGCTTTGCAATTGTATTTCCCCCCCCTCCCACCTCTGCTACCACACACATGTAATAAAATATGGCAACGCACTGAATTGACTCCCCCCCCCACCCCTTCAACCACAGTCCAAGGCAATGCATACACGTTAGCAAACCGATTTTCTGGAAAGCCCCAAGTCATCCCCAAACCCACATAGCACAAGGAGAAAAGTGAGAAAGAGGAGAAAGATAAAGAGAAATACAGTAAGCAAACATACCAAAACCATATTTGCCTTGTTCAAGGTCCCAAACGGCTTGCATCTTCCTTCTAAACTGGAATAACTCTCCTTTAGTTTGGCGGGTGAAATAAACGCTTTGTTGGCCCCCTGAAAAGATGTGTCTTTGATAATTAAAGAGACTCTCCTCCACGGTGTTTATCTAAGCGATTGTGCAAACTGATAAAAAAAAAGTAGGCATTAGTCTGCAGGGAAAAAAGGAAAGGTGAAGGCAGAGCTTTTCCACCTCAAGGAAGTGCTTCCCTGTGTACCAGGCGCTCTCAGCCTTTGGAAAAGCCTGCACACTAACTTTAGAGAGAGACGCGGCTTCAGGGAGCTTTGTACATAGCTGCTGAGGAATGCAAGCCTCGCCTTTAAGAAAAAAAAAAAAAACCCCAAACCGTAGGTAGGAGATGTCTGGAGTGATCCTTGTCTCTCATCTGATGCCTTAGAAGGAAGAGTGCGTTGTTACACCTTGTTTGGGGCTGGAAAGAGGAGACTTTAAAAACACCCTTCCAATTGGAAAAAAAAAAATTCTCCCAACTTAATGAGTTTAGTCGGAGGCTGGAGCAAACGGCTCAGCCTTAGCAGAAAACCGCAAACAACTATAAGCAATATTGCAAAGCAAGACAACTGGAGGCACAGCCAAATTCCACTGTTTGGGGTCGAGAAGGATGGAGGCTAATCCTAAAGCAAGTTGGAAAAAAAAAAAACAGAGGTGGGAGAGGAGGGGGAAAAGCTGCAGCCTAGTAGACTGGCAGACAGGGTTCTCTCACCCTGGATCAAAGATAGAACTT